AACAAAAATAGTGTTACAAAGTGTAATCAGTTCACCAAGAAATCAGAGAAAAGCAGTTTTCAAGTTTTGAGCAGATAATCATAGAGAAAATGCATTTCTTTATACAGTCATGGTAAGTATATGCATCCTCATCCACAAGAATCTGGCAGTACTTCCATACCATAGTGAATACTTCCTTCCACTACATTGCACATGTATAGCACTATACCTTTCCTAACCTCACAGGGAATCAAGTAGGAGCTGCAGTGGTGCAATGGTTTAAATCCATGTGCTGGCTGAACTGCTGACCTGAAGGTTGGAGGTTTGAATCCGTGAAATGGAGTGAGTTCCCGTCTATCATCCCCAGCTTCCCATGCAGGGATATGAGAGAAGCCTCCCAAAGCAACACATCCAGGCATCCCCTGAGCAATGTCTTTGCAGACGACCAATTCTCACACACCAGAAGCGACTTGCAGTTATCTCAAGGTGCTTCTAATATGAAAAAAGGGAAACAAGTTAGGAAATGCTGCCACATAACCAAGCTGGCCTTGACTGCAATATTTGCACAGGCTACATGGCTTCCCTGGTTGTATTTTGTCCAGTTCTGTCACAGTTAGACTGGGTTTTGCCCTTTCTCTTCTGTTCTAGAAACCAACTACAATCACAGGCTTATCATGAAACTCCCACATTAGCAAAACAAAGGGATCTTAAACATTCTTTTCCCTAGTGCAAAACAAAGTTTGTGGCAGAGGCCTCCCTATAAAACAGACATGAAAATCTTCCCTCTCAACAAGAGTTGTAGACCAGAGTTAAACTCAAGTTAAACATGGAGGTTGCTAAACAAGCATGATGGTGTCCCAACACATGCACACTGTCATGCATATACATACTATTGTTTCGAGTCACATACTTATGTACACACCAAGCATCCTTCATACATCTACTCATTCACTGTAATTCATATTTGTACTCATTCACATACGCTGCCAATCTGTATTAAGTAAGACTCCTATTTGCCTCAATGAGAACTTTAACCCAATGTAAACAGAAGACATGATGTGGGGTGTCTAGACTGGCACTCCAATTATGACTAGGAGGGTCTTCATTCTATGGGACTCCTGGTCTAATCCCTATCTGTAGTGGATCTAAGGGATCTTGCAATGGGAAAAATCTCCTATTTGTTCCATTGAGCAGCCTCTTTCCTGTGCACATTGCAGGGATCGTGTTTCTAATCTAGATCTAACCCAGTTTGTATGTTTCCTTTCACTCCTATGGTGTTCACAATTTGGATTGAAACATTACTTTAGGACCCCCCTAATGTAGGCATTTAATCATTCTGTCCTGTATCATCAGTTGAGCAGAGGAGTGAACAACTGAGATGCATTACAATATATATATATAGTGTCAAATCTGTGTACACTGAAACAAAAAAAGGTTAAGAGAACTTTTGCTTGTGCATCAGCTTGAGAGAAGATGTTCAAATGCAGGACAGTCTGTGGGATATAGCTTAAGACTAGAGGCATCACATGGAAACTTTTCTTTACATTCCAAAATCCTCCAGTGAATGTGGCAAGTGATACTGGATTCATGACTGAACTTCCAGTTGCCTGGACTTCCAATTGCCTGTCTAGTTTAGAAATCTAAGCCATGTTGATGTGATGCTATTATGTTGTACATTTTCCATTCCCCTACCAGTAGCCACCAATGACATGGAAACTCGCTACTAGATCCAACTGATGTAGTAAAGCCCTCCTCAGCGGGGCATATGACCTCCCACATATACAGTGGGGTATATGACCTCCCACATATAAGCTGTTTTGAGTGCCTTCCCCATAATAACCATGACACCTCTCAGTGCTTTGACTTTCTAGCATTTCTTGGGCAATGCTCTATAAATATAACTTGTTCAGGTTGACAAGAATGGGATGCCCTTCATGAACAATGTGTGTGGTAAACCATTGATTGGAGTTTTCAGACAACACAGCTTTGCAATTGCTTACGTGGACAAGCAGAAACTTGTTTCTGTTGCTGCTGGAAGAATTTCATACAGCTGTTCCTGTAATAAACTACATATCTCCGAAATGTTTAGTGCACATCCATATTATATGTGCACTGTGCTTAGCTTAATCCTACTACAAAAAAGCCCTTCTACTTCAAGATCATGATCATAAACAATAAAGTTTACTGGAGTTAGATACTGGCATTTAATGCTTTGGATTAACTGTGCATCAAGGCAGTCTCGCTGTAGATGGATCATTCCCTGCATTCTCTTGGCAACACTTACATTTCTAGTCTCCATCTCCCCTCCTCTCCCATTTGAGATTTCTGGGGCACTAGGGCAAAAAGCCCAGCTGCCCAGGACATAGATTGTCTAATCCACTTGAGTAATGATGTGACAAGTCAGTGGAAATAAAACTTTGTCAAAATAAAAAAAGGAAAAGAAAGTGAGAGGGATTTGAACCCTTTTGCCGTGTGATAGCCAGCCTTTGTTTCGGCACTCCTTTTCATTCCTATTGCTCACATTTTGTTATCATTGCATAGAAGTAAAACACGGCTAATATATAACTGCAATGGAGCTCTCCAGCTGAACAAGCCAAATTCCTGTTATTAAATGTACAGCAGACTAAACAGTTTTGTTAAATATCAGGCATCAAATTACACCCTTTGGATCTGTGCTTGTCACATATCTTCACTGTAGATTAATCACATTTGTTATGGTTTAGTTTGAGAGGCTTTGAGTTTTTGAAAATAAAAAAATCTGCTTCTTTTGCTATTCTTTGGGACTGTTTTTTGTTGTTGTTACTAGCCAATATTGTAATTTACATTAAAAGAAACCTGTGGTCTGACAAATAAAATTTTAAAATCCATCCTCTGGTTTAACAAATCTGGCATTTAGTTCATATAATGCAGTACATTTCCTCTATAGTGTGCTTTCCAAGGCTACTGTCATAGACAATCCATTTAGTGTAGAGTTTATTTCTCTAGAGCAATAGTTCTGCAACTTCCAAGTTATTTTAAAAATATACTGCATGTGCTTAAACTCCAGCATTTCTGTCCACTTTTTAATGTAACATAGCATCTTCCAAAGCTGCTCAAAGTAGTGTTCCATGGGCAATTGGCAGTCTAAGGACCTCATCACACTACAGTGTGGATCCACTTCGAATCCAGTTTCTGCCTCCTGCTGAATTCCGAGGCTTGTGAGGTCCAAGGCCTCACAAAACTACAAACTCCAGAATTCAGCAGGAGGCAGAAGCCAGATTTAAAGTGGACCCATGCTCTATGACGGCATTTCTCAACCTGGTGGTTGGGACCCCTGGGGGTCATGAGGGGTTTCAGAGGGGACACCAAAGACCATCAGAAAACATATATTTCTGATGGTCTTAGGAACCCCTTTGGCAGAAAAGGCTGAAGATCTCTCTGCCTGTCCTTCTCTTCCTTTTTAAAAACAGACGGCAAATCCTCCCACCAAAGGCTTTCTCCACTGTGATTGGCCAGCCTTTGAGCCGGCCTCTCAGCCAAAGGGAGGGCTGTTTCTGAGACTACAAGCACGGACGGGAGAACAGGCATGCTCAGCGCATGGCAGCATGGTGTGCATGTGTGTATGTGTGGGTGGGGGAGAGTGTGTGAGGCTGGAGGGAGGCTCGCGCCAGTGAGTCGCTTCAAGGTATGAGGGTTCTGTGTGGGAAGTTTTGCCCAATTCTATTGTTGGTAGGGTTCAGAATGCTCTTTGATTATAGGTGAACTATAAATCCCAGCAACGACAACACCCAAATGCCAAGGTCTATTTTTCAAACACAGCACCAGTGTTCACATTTCAGCATTTGTGCCAAGTTTGGTCCAGATCTATCATTATTTGAGTCCACAGTGCTCTCTGGATGTAGATGAATTGTAACTCCAAAACTCGGGGTCAATGCCCACCAAACCCTTCCAGTATTTCTTGTTGGTCATGGGAGTTCTGTGTGCCAAGTTTGGTTCAATTCCATCATTGGTGGAGTTCAGAATGCTCTTTGATTTTAGATTAATTATAAATTCCAGGAACTGCAACTCCCAAATTACAAAATCAATCCCCCCGACCCCACCAGTATTCAAATTTGGGCATATCGGATATTTTGTGTCAAATTTGGCCCAGTCTATGAAAAAAAATCCTGCATATCAGATATTTACATTACAATTCATGACAGTAGCAAAATTACAGTTATGAAGTAGTAACGAAAATAATTTCATGATTGGGGGTCAGCACAACATGAGGAACTATATTAAGGGGTCAGGGCATTTGGAAGGTTGAGAACCACTACTCTATGAGGCTTTGGTCATTGGCTAGTGGTCCATGGTGAGTTCCCAGGAAAGAAAGAATCAATTGTCCCAGTGGGCAGAAAGACAATTGTACCCATTTGCTCCCCCTGCCTATATTAGATAGCTGGAAAAGCATATCATATTACGAACAGCTAGCAAAACTCACTGTACATAAAGAATTATGGAACTATGTGTTTTTCTTCTTGTTTTCTGTGCAACTATCATAATCTGAGATATGGTGCTCTGGGATACAGGATTTAGTACTCCTTTTCTTCAATGCTCTTTAGATAATGCAAATGATGTTAAGTTGTTCCTAGCTCTAGAATGGAGAGGGAGGAAGGTAAATACAGATGTGTACTCAGAACACTGAAATGCAATTTTCCTTCAGAGTTCCAAAGACTGGAATAAGTAGGGTGGAGGGATTAGCTTGTATAGCCTGTAGTTTTAGACCACTTTTTTAAAAAATAAAACTGTCAAAGTTGGCCTCTATGTGTGCACGCGTGTGCACGTGCAAGGGAGGGAGGGTGAGAGAGAATTTCGTCTCGTAATTCTAAGTCATTTTATTTTTAATAAAACTTTATAGGAGTTACTTCCAATAAACAGTACCTTGTCCCAATCAAACTGACATTGCATCTTGTTGTAATATACTGTAAGATTTTATGTAACACAATACCTTGTTCTTAACTGCAAAAATACCCACTGCAGTTCCTTTTGATATTTCTCCTCAGACCAAACTCCGACACCAACCCGATTCCTAAAGAACTGTGAGGAAGTGGGCCTCTTCAACGATATAGACTGCTCCTTAGAGCATGAGTTTAGAAAGGCACAAGAAGAAGAGAACAATAAAAGGGTATGCCTTTGTAGAATGGAAACGTCTGTTTTCTCTCCCCTCCCTAAGTGCTGTGCTGTGAAGGCAGAAGGGACTCCGTTACCTGAATGAGAAGAAGGGGGAAAACCTTTAAGTTGGAAACTAGGTGGCACTATAGATTGTGACATGTTTTCTAACTTGCATAAACTGATAAAGCTGAAGGAATATTAGTTGTGTTTTGTTGGATGTACAGGATATTATTACCAGCAATACATCTACACCAGCTGTCCTCAAACATTTTAACCAGAGGGCCAGGTCATGGACCTACAGACAGTTTGGGGGGGGGGGGGGGAAGGGCGGACTATAGTTTGGAAAAAACAAACAAATGAATTCATATGCACACTGAACGTATCTTATTTGTAGAACAAAAAAAAATGGAAAAAAATAAAATATTTAAAAAGAAGAACAATTTTAACCCAGATAAATGTACCAGTATTTTAATGGGAAGCCTGCTTTTGGCTGATGAGAGAATTAAGTCATTTAGACTTGTTATTGTGTGCCTTCAAGTTTTTCAGACTTAGGGCAACCCTAAGTCTAATGTTTAGAGTGGGGGCTATGTAAATAATCTTGGAGAGCCACATCTGGCCCACAGGCCTTAGTTTGAGGACCCCTGAGCTACACTATAAAATTAATGCAATATGATACCACTTTACTTTCCATGACTCAATGTTTTAGAATCTTGGGATTTGTAGTTTTATCAGCTTTTTAGCTTTTTCTGCCAAAAGATTGCTGGTGCCTCGCACATATAGTTCTATCAGGAACCTTGATTTCCCTCCCCACACATTTGGTAAAAAAAAAAAGTCTGAATTCTACACATGGAGTGTTTTGTGTATAATAAAATGATTTTTTTTCTATTTAAGAGAGGTAGTAGGATGGACTTCTTAAAATGGGGTCCTTATATTCAAGCACATCAAAACCAGGCATCTAATTTGCATATTGTTTTCATTTAGAATACCATTAGATTTCAGCACTGGAAGCATTTTGTTACAGTAGCTACATTCCCCCCCACCCAAAACAAACAAACAAACAAACAAACAAACAAACAAACAAACTATACTCAGCCTTCTGCATTTTCTGAGATTAAGGGCACAGGAACAACTCAAGATTGGAAAACCACATTTTAAAAAATGCGGTTTCTTTTATGTGTGAGAGAGCACCTCTGAAAAACCCGAAGTCACCCTGGAAAGCCTAGAGACTCTTAGAGTGAACACTTTGAACAAATAATCAAATCCACAAAAGTCAGACCTGAAGATATGGAGGGCTGACTATAGTATAGAGCAGAGCTTTCCAAACATTTCATGCATCATTTCATGACATTGTAATCAGTTTTACTAGCAAACCAGAAGTTAATTGAACCCCTTACAAGAGATACGGGCACATACATTAATTGTAATAACAAAATATATGGGGGACACAACATCTCAGAAATATTTTCATTTATATATATTTAAAAACATATGATTCATTGCTTATTTCACATAGACTCAAAGGTTTTTTGTTATGTCCATGTGACACATCTAACACACTGCAGCTGACACCCTAATATGTTGCAACACATGGTTTGGAAAGCTCTGGTTTAGAGTCATGTCTGAAGTACTAGACTTGGACCAGAGAGATACAAGTTGAAGTTCTTGCATGGTCATGGAATTCACCATGTGACCTTGGGCTATCACTATCTCTCAGGAAATGTAAACAACAATGACAATAAATAACATTTTGTAATCCACACACCTCTTAAAATCATTGGATCATTCCAGTACGTTTTGCTGTTTTCCCATCTATTGATGACAAAAAGACTAAAGAACATGAAAAGTACCACAGTATCCATTGGTAGTTCTACCAAAAGGACTAAAGAAGAGGCCATATAGAAGACAAACTTAGAAACCAGAAATCATTGTCTTGCATCATCTTCCTTGTTGTTTGCAGCCTCTGGATGAAGCTCTGCGCTCCTTTCCTGTTTCATGCCTTGCCTTCTGCCTTCACAATGCCTCCCTGTCTTAACCCTGCGCCTTTTCCCATTCCTTGCTTTATCTTACACTTCATAATGCTTCCCTTCTGTGCTTTTAGCCCTCTACCACTTGCCTCTCCCACCCCTCCCTTTCCTCCCAGCCTTACTCACCATATGCCACCACTCTGGGTGATATTTCAGGCCCATCCTAGAATTTATGTATATGTGGTGAAACAGATTCCTCAGCTTCCATCTCATGTCTGTACAGCATGTAGTAACTTCTATCTTGTGTGAAGCAGCCCTCCGTTTTCCAAGTATGACAGATAGCATCCAGGCAGTTGATTACAATTAACTAGATCAGATCTAGACTTGCATATGTGAGCAAGTCAGTACAATTTTAAATATGGTTTTTATTTGTTGTTCATACTACCAAGACACTTTACTCAATCAATATAGCTGTCTGGCACAGGGAACTTGCAATCTTAATTTTGTTGGGGGGCTGGGAAATCTGATGAAAATGTACAAAGGGGAAAATAGTGAGAAAACTTCACAGTAGACATGTGTAGTCATGGAGGAAAAATAGATCACAGGTACAATTTGGGGAGTATAGTTTCTGGATCTTTGATTCTTCCAGGCTTTAACAGTCAGATTGCATGATATACCAGGAAAATTAGAGATACTATGAATGATATTTAGTAATAGCGAGGGCTACCTGGAATCCAAGACTAGGAGGAACCTGACTATCTACTATACAAGAGAATGTTGCCCAGCCTCTGCAGTTAAAAGTAGCAAGCTAGACAGTATTGGTAGATCAGGTTATCTTCCGATCCACAAGCAACAGGTTTTAGTTTTACACTTGTCTCAGCATAAAATATCCAATGCAATTGTCATAGGGTTATATTTGCAAACACATGACCTTTCCTGCTGGCAAATTGGCTTCTGAGCAATGAATGTAAGTTTGAGAGAATGACAGTCAAACCTGGGACAATCAGAATTGCTTTCTTAAGAACCAACTCTATTAAATCAGGAAATTAAGTCTTATTTGCATTCTCTTATATGTCAAGAAGGAAAAAAGAGCAAATAATATCCAGACTGGGATAGCAAATAAATACTCTTACAAGAACCACAGCAAGACCTGATTGCAGCAATTACTGGGACTGCCCTACAGGCCCATGGCCAGGGAAAAAAAAGGGGGGGGGTTGAAACAATTTTTATTTTTTAGTGAATCATGAAGAGTAGGTCCATAACACAAAATAATTTAATTTTTGTGACTCATTCTATATTTTACATAGACTTAATTAAATCAATTTCTATTTTAGTTACAAAGTTTCAAGTCTAAAAAATACTGGAAATGACTCATAATTGGTAATTTAGTGATTAAAATGAATACCACAATGGCTGCTGGAAACACTTGAAAACTGTGTCAATACACTTTGACAGAAATCAGACACCATCGATAAACTTCTGTGGAGACTCAAGGGTGCAAGTCCAGTCAGTCTTTCTTGTGTCATTGTTCATCTTATGTATGTATTCAAACGTTTAAGACGTTCATTTGTAATTGTTGACACTGGCAATGTTACAGAAATCCAAAGAAGTTTCTTCACGTTAAGAAAAAAACCTGTCTATCACAGACAAGATATGCTTTTAGTACATTTGATGATTTTTCTGCAGGAGTAACCTTTCTCCATTTTTTCACATAGGTCAAACTCTTCCATTACTATATAAGTAGGCCCTTCCACAAAGGCCTATGTCCCAGAATATTAAGGCAGAAATTCCCACATTATCTGAGTGTTGACTCAGATAACTCAGCTCAAAACAGATATTGTGGGATTTTCTGTCTTGATATTCTGGGATATAGAGCTGTGTGGAAGGACCCAATATCTTGAAGGCATTCATTGAAAAGTTCTGTACACTTGTTTAAGTTGGATTTTAAATGGCCATAGTTAATAGGGAGGAACACATGCAGTTCCTAAACTACTTACCTGTGCCTTGTAAACCTTTCTTGAAGCTGATTGCAGAAAAAGTCCAGCAATGAGATTTACATATTTAGCTTATAATAGCCTGGATGTTGCTTTTACAAGTCTGCTTAGAACAGATGCAAGGAATCCTAACTTCTCCACCCATAGACTCCATCACGGATCTTGCTGTGTCAAAGATCTCCTGAAATTCTTTCACAGATTCTGTGTGCATCTCCCTGGCTTTTTAAAAAAACTGTCAACATGTTGTAGACTACAGAAAATATCCATATTTACTCTTCGTAATGTTTTGCTAAGCTGAAGGAATGATAACAAACTTTCTTAGTCTGTGTAGAGTTATACTACAAATTCAGCATTCAGAACAGTCAAAAGGAGGTGTCCAGCTTGGCAAGAAGTCTCACTGTTGTATAGAGGATCCTCTTTTAGTTCTTCAAGTGTTTTCACCACCACAAACGTATCATCTCACTTAACCCAAGGGGTTTCACAAAGCGGCAACAGGCTGTTTGCTATTGATTAAGGGAAACAGTCTTTTATATTTGTCTTCAACAGTTCAACAGTTCCATTCGGATGGATGATGTTCTAAAGAAATTGCGCACAGATGAAATTGTTCCTTGGCAGTTTCTGACAGGTGGAATGATGCAAGTAATATGACCACTCATATTAGCAGCTCCATCTTACTTACTTACTTAAACAGAGAAACAGTGTGATGCATTGCATCTCTCAACATTTTCTTTATTGTCTTGTCACCACAATTGTCTATTAGTTCATTCTGTATTTGAGGATTAGTATACTGGGCATTCATAGCTGTAGTTTCGAAATGACTTTTCAGGTCTGTTGCGACAGAAGACCTCAACAAGGCCCTGAAATTACCATCATTGTGGAAAGGCTCTTCACAGGTAATAGATCCTGAATCATTGCTCTCTCTTAAAACCAGTTTTTGTTGGCCACAATGGACAATACTTTTCACAACTGGCAGAAGTTTCTTTCTGTTTTTCCCCCAACTTTCTTCTTATTTCCTTTATCATGATGATGGGTTACATCAAGATGTTTTCCACTGA